CAGTGGCTCAGGGCTCCAGCGCCTAGCTCTCTCTTGAAAGTGTCCATTTCACTGAGTGTCATTGTGGGTCTGTTGGTGGCACGGGGGCAGGGGAAGGTGAGTGGATCCGTGTGACGGTGTGTGCTCTTAGGGTACCAAGTGCCGCTTTCTGCGGGGTTTGGGGGGGGGGCGATGCGCGCGAGTTTGGAGCCCGGCACCTGCGCGTATCCTTCGGAGATGTGTCTGAGCATGTGGGGTGGTGTGTGTAGTGCTGCGTGTCTTGGTGGGCAGTTGTTTACCTGGCGCATCTGGGCGCGAGGGTGTGCTGGGACTGTACAGCGAGTGATGATGTTTGTGGTCCGCCTTGGTGTGTATGTGCTTCAGCAAGAGCTGTTCATTCTGCCAGTCGGTAACTAGAGCAGTGTCACTGTAGGTCTGAAAGCCGAATGCAAATGCACGGGGATGCAGGGGTGCTCAGCTTTTTCGCAACAGGGTGTCAGTCAGGGTGCTGAGGGGGTGTTGTTGTGTGTGTCAGTGGATGCAGATGGCAAAGCGATGAAAAGCTCCTATGTGCTTGCCAGGGCTACTGCGAATGGCTTTGGTATTGGCCGTGGCCGGCTGGGTGGGGGAGGCAGGTGGCAGGCAGGCTGGCAGCTGGCAAGCTCACAGGGATTTCCATATCCCGAAGGCCATTTATGGGGCTGCAGGGAAGATGCTGTAAGGCTCCAGGGTAGGTGCTACTGGGCGCTCAGGACCCAGCTTCTCCTCACTCTGTCCCTCCCACCAGGCCCAGGGCCCCAGCCAGTGCCCAGCCCTGCTGGGAGCCCCGGCCAGCACCACGGACGGCACCCAGGAAGCCCGAGTCCCCCTGGACGGGGCCTTCTGGATTCCCAGGCCACCAGCAGGTTCACCCAAGGGCTGCTTCACCTGTGTGTCCAAGCCTCCTGCCCTGCAGGCTGCAGCAGCCCCGGCCCCTGAGCCTTCGGCCTCGCCCCCCATGGCACCCACTCTGTTCCCCATGGAATCTAAAAGCAGCAAGACTGACAGCGTTCGGGCATCAGGTGTCCCCCAGGCTTGCAAGCACTTAGCTGAGAAGAAGACCATGACGAACCCCACAACAGTCATCGAGGTCTACCCGGACACCACGGAGGTGAACGACTACTATCTGTGGTCCATCTTCAACTTCGTCTACCTCAACTTCTGCTGCCTGGGCTTCATTGCTCTGGCCTACTCCCTCAAAGTGAGCCTGGGTGGGGGATGGGGCAGGGATAATGGGGCTGGCAGGATGGAATGTCATTTAGTGGAGTCCAGGGCAGAGCATGCAAGCCCAGCCAGGAGATCTGTTATGGATTCAGAGAGGTAAGGCTGCTGGCCAGGTCTGGACTTGCAGCAAAGGGCCACTTCCCTTTCCTAAACCGAGAAAGCTTGATCCAGTTTGGGGAGTGGGGTAGGGTTGTCTGTTCTGTACAACTAGCTTAGTTACGCCACTGGGAGCAGGCCCTCAGAGCTCAAGATCCTGTCCTCTGGCCAGGAGACATGGGAGTCAACATGGCTAGTAGCCACACCTAGGTAAATGGGATGGAGGCTGCATGGAGCCAGGGGACTTGAAATCCTGTGGCTATGAAAAGCAGAGGGGTAGTCTCAGGGCCCTTGCAGAACCTCTATGTCAGCCCCTCCCTGGGGGATCTGTTACCAGGCACTTTGCTTGCCCAGCCAGGTGTGTGATAGAAGGCCAAAGCCTGGCCTAGAGAAATATTAGAAAACTCATCTTATCCCCCACCTACTCTGAACCCCACTGTGGCTACAACTTCCAGGACCACCTCCCCTTTGCACTGTGAGTCAGTGACTGGAAACAGAACAGCATAGCAAGCATGTGGGACCCCTCAACCACTCCTACCCCTACCATTTCCCATGGCAAAGTGAAGGAAATGAACACAACTAATGGGGCTGGGGAAAGCTGGGATCATAGATGGCTCTAGAGTGGCTCAGCCCTTGTGTCCCAGGTAAGGACTGAGCATCCTTGGACTGTTAGAGCCTCACCAGCAGGGTGCGGGAATGGTGCCTGGGTGCCTTCCTCCCATCCTGCATCTCCGGAAGGAAGGCCTTGGCTCACATTTATTTACACAGACCTCACTTCCTGAGCCCAGACTTGAATGGCCCAAGCCAGATGCAGTCCCGAGATTGCAGCTGCCCAGCAAGGAGGGGTGCCAGGGGCTGGGAGAGCAGCAGGGTGCTGTAGGGATTAAAAAGTGAGGGCAAGACTGACCCAAGAGGAAGGATGCCCCGGCGGCTCGGCCCACAATTCATCTGCAGACATGAGCCCCACCCTGTCCTGCATCACATGACAAGCCACCAGGTTCTCCCCTCCTCTTCGTGACTCATGCTCAGTGTACCACACCATCTTCATGCCTTCATTTCCAGGCCTGGGTTCCTCACCTCAAGCTGTGCCACACAAGAGTTGTGTACACGAGTGATCACGTCTGTGAGAGCATGTGATTGCATGTGTGTGTGCACATGTGCTCACATGTGTGTAATTTACTGTGTGTGGAGAGTATGAGTGGGTACGTTTGAGTGTGTTGCGTGGGTGGGTTTGTTTATATGGATGTGAGTGTGGACACTTGAGCATATGTCTGAGTGTCATTATATGCGTGTAATCATGTGCATACATGTATGTATGTGTGTGAGCAAATGCAACTGTGTGCCAGTATGCATGAATGTATATAGAAATGTATGTCCAATTACATGTGAGTGGTACCAGCATAATCACATGCCTATATCTGTTTAAGTGTATATCATGAGTGGACACATGTATGAGTATAATATGTGTGCATACAAGTATTTGTGAGTCAATATGTGTTTGCACACGTGTGTGTGTGTGTGTGTGTGTGTGTGTGTGTGTGTGTGCCTACTTGTGCTGAGAGGCAGAATGAGAAGGGAACCTAGAGACTCAGGATGTCTTAAGGCTAGCTCGGCTCTGTTCTCTGGGGCAGTGCCAGGCAGAGGGCACAATTGCCAGATTGTTAGTGGAACGTAGCTTCCCCTGGTGCCCTCTTTCCCTGCACTGTCTACAGCCCGGGGATTTGGACATGGCTGCCTGGGCTCAGGTCCGGGAGTTGTCCCCTCCTCCCCTGGCTCAGGCTGTGTCCGGCTGGCTGGGCAGGGTAGCCCATCTGGTGTGGGTTGTAGGTAGGTCAGGCATTTCTGGATGGTCATGGGTTTGTACTGGGATGTGAGGTTGACACTTTGGAGAGGAGAGAAGGCTTACTGTCTCTCCTTTGTTTTGTTCCCTGGGGTCTTCCAAGGGAACAGTGGACAGGTCTTGGGGCTTCTTGGAGGGATGTGCAGGGTCAGCACAGACCAGGCTAACTCTGACCTGATGCCTGGAAATCAGTCCACCTGTGTATCTAGCTGCAGCCTCCTGATCAGCTGCACCTGCCACTCATGCAGCCCAATACAAGCATGTCCAAGGACAGCAGGTGGACCAGAGGTCAGGAGGACTTGGCTGGTTTTTCATCCATCTTTCCTTGTTGAGCCCTAACCCTCATTTGCTCACAAAAGAGACAACACTGTTCAAGCCATCATGTGATCAGATGGGCTGGCAGGCTGGTGTGAGATAATGGCATTTTTGCCTGCCCTGTCTGTCAATCTCCCATCAGGCCACCATCCATTCTTCCAACCACATGGGTCAGGTCAGCTCCATGCAGACTGCTCTGTGTCTAGGGAAGAACAAGATACAGTAAATCAAGTCTCCATACACTGCCTCATAAAAACATAGTCCCACTGTTAGCTGCACCCAATTTTGGTATTCAAGCCCCTTCAAGGTCCCTCATCACCCCTTTCCTGGGGAAATATTAAGCTGTGTGCACACACTGACTCGCAGGTATCCCCTCTCTCTGCAGGGTCTCTCCTACAGACCCTCTAAGGCCTTCCTTCCCTGGTCACATCTGCCTGAGCCACCCTCAGGACCACCCTTCCAGTATCCAAAGCATGGTGACCATCAAGGGGGAAGTCTAAGGATATTATTTGGTTGAACAGAGGATGTTACCAGAGGGGACATATAACCCAGTGTCTTAGAATAGGAAAACATCACACTGAGATTGGGGCCAGCTTCTGGGAGGAGGTATCATTTTCCATGGGCCTTGAAGGATGGGTAAGAGGAAAGTTTTATCTGGAGAAAGGAGCAGACACTAATCAGGGAAATCCTCTGTGGGAAGTGGAAGTATGAAGGGCAGGAGAGGGAGTGCAGGGCAGCCAGCATGTGGCTGATGCTTGATCTGAGCCCAGGCGGCTTGGGGACCGCCTGAGACAGGAAAGCCTGAAAGAATAGGTTAGGATGGTAGATTCTGGTTGGGTTTGGTATGTATGTATCTGTCCATCTCATCCTTTCTAAATATCAGTGTTATCAGCCCATCTATCCACTCATTCATCCACCCACCCATCCATCCGTCTACCTAGCCATAGCATACCCATTCAGCTACTCATTCATCCACCCATCTACTCATCCATCATCCTTCTATTCATGAACCCACACACCCACTAATTCAGCTGTTCATCCTCCCACTTATCCATCCCATCTGTCTACCCATCCATCTGTCTACACCACACCCATTTGTGCATTCATCTACCCGTGTACTATCCATCTATCCACATCACACTCATTCATATCTAGCTATTCATTTATCTGTTTACCCAATCATCTGCCCATGCATGCACTCATCCATTCACCCACTCACCCATCCATCCACCCACCCAGCAGTCACCTGTCCATCCACCCATTTAACCCATCTACTCACCTACCCCACTATTCATCCGTCCACTCTTCTGCTCATCCACACACTCATCCATCCACCCATCAGCCTGTCGACTCATCCATGGCCCAACCATCCACTCATCTCTCACCCATCTACCACACTCTACCCATCCTCCTACACGCTCATCTGCACATCTGCCTATCTGTTCATCTGCCCACTCTACTATTTATCCACTCATCCCTCTACACACTCACAGCCCATCCCTACACCTTTCCATCATTCACTCACCCATGTATACAGTCATCTGGCCATCCACTCACTGTTAGACAGTAGAGTGACATTTCAGGCAACAACAGGTCACATATATAAGACCTCATCACCTAGTAGTGTCATAGTTGATTTGTGTACATCCTCTGTGATGTTAACAGATGATGAGGCCTTCTGGAGTCTCTCAGATACCCCTCATTAAGTGATCCATGGCTATGTCAATCTATTCTCCACTCTGTTCACTACATCCAGACAGCATCAGCCTTCTACCCACCTGTTGACACACAATCATTTGTACTTCTGACTCTGTCCTCTACTGTCTCATTCCATCCTTACCAACCTTAACAGTGGCCCGCTAAACTATCTCCCTAAGGTCATTTTCTCATAACACTACCACTTCACTCACCAGCACTGCTGTCCCTCTGTCCATGCTTTGCCACATCCTCCCCCTTTCCATCACTCCTCCATACCAAGTAGCCATGCGTGCATTTTGTCACTCACCCTCTCATTTGCATTCTTCTACCTTCAGTTCATCCACCCATCTATCAGTTTTTCTTGTATTTTCTACCCATGCATCCATTTATCCGCATTAACTTTCTCTCCTCTTTTGTAGTTCTACTTCAGTTTCACTGTCTGAACTCATCAATCCATCCATCCATCCATCTATCCATCCATCCATCCATCCATCCATCCATCCATCTTCTCCTCGTTCCAACCTTCATAACCTTTGCTCCCCTCTTCCTGTGTAGAATTTTCCTCTGGCATCCATATATCAACATTCAAACCCATCAGCCTCCAACATCTGTCTCTTCTCCAGCTTTATGTCCACCCAAATGTCTACTCTCTTATTTCCTCTTCACTCCCTCCTATCCCCCACCTTCTCTGTCTGTCTCATCTGTCTGTCTGTCTGTCTGTCTGTCTGTCTGTCTGTCTGTCTGTCTGTGTGGCTGTGAGTGTACCTGCACATCCTCCCTTGCCTAACCGCACACCTCATGCTTCAGCCGTGTGCTCATCTGCTGTCCCCTCTGCTCCTTCACTGTTCCGGCCTCTCTTATTTTTAGACCCTGGCACACCGTGTCAGATTTGGTGGTGCATACCTAAAATCCTAACATTTGAGAGTCAGAGGCAGGAGGAGTTAGGGTTCAAGGCCAGCCTCAGTTACTTAGTAAGACCTTGTCTTTTAAAAAAAGATTTAAAAAAAGAAGGAAGGAAGGAAGAAAAT